AAGAAAATATTAGTAATTCTTTAGTACCACCTAATGGACTCCTGCCTTCAAAGCCAACTGAGAGATGTCATGGTGTTGTCTCTGTTCCAATGTGATCTAACACAGGCCTTCTTTTTCTGTTTAGCTATTTCTCCTAGTGAAGACCAGCCCAGGTCTGTCCCAATCTGCTTTGGAAGAGACTCTTGGAACTCTTTTTCCTCCTCCTGTCTCCACTTTGTGCCCAGAGATCTGCATGGAACAGATCCTCCTCCACACACTGTTGATAAGTGCCAATCATTCTGTGCCTCGCAAATCTTGCACACACGATGTAATACCTTCCCTGGGAGTGTCTGTACAGGTATCCCCTTTTGTATAAAAGAGCACAAGGAATATTCCTTCCCCACTTGCTTCTATGATTGTGGAAACATCTCTGAAGTTGACAGCACAAAAGGAATTATTACAGCTCGCACAATAAATGCAAATGTCATCATAACACTGGCCATTTTTCACTGCTTGCTCAAATAGATGACAAAATTTATCTTTGTGTCAGTAGGCTCATCATGTATGTGATATGGTTACATGAGTGAGGAGGAAATTCACTTCTGAAAATAGTGTAGTATATCTATGGATCTTCTGGGTGGTGGGGTGGGAAGTGGTAGATGATAAAGAGCTGAACTCCTGGGCTTCCTCAAGGTCATGTCAGACTCCATATTCCACAGGGTTGTTCACCTCAAAGTAACACAGAACTCTGTGCTTTAGGACCTCCTGTCTCTCCCTAATGTTATGACTGAACACCATGGAATAGAGACCTAGAAGTTCGCCATAGTTCCTATCCTAGAAAATGTTTTAATTAATCTAAATATAAAATCTTTGTTTGTTTTCCACTATACTAATGATTTTCTGTTGACTACAAGGAAAGTTTGGGAGCTCTGGTAGCGTAGTGGTTACGAATTGGGCTGTGAACCACAAGGTCAGCAGTTCGAAACTACCAGTGGTTCCATGGGAGAAAGATGAGGCTATCTGCTCCTGTAAAGATTTACAGCCTCAGAAACTCTGTACAGGGTAGCTATGGGTTGGAACCAACTCGATGGCACTTAACAAAAACAACAACAAGGAAAGTTTAGATGATGGACTGAGAAATGGAAATCTGAGTCAATAAAACATTTATATTACTTCAACTGATTGCTTAATTTTAGTTACATGGAGTCTACAAATGCTTATGAGATTATGACATGGGAAATACACCAAATTTGAAATAGATTTTGTAATCTGAAATTTCTCAGAATGTCAAGACAGGATTCATTAATTCTTATTTGTTTCTTCCATTATCCTATGATCTTTAGAATCCATGTGAGCCTGAATTTTTCCTTTAAAAAGCTAGTTTTATTTAACTGGAAAAATGAAACATTAGTCAAAGAAAATAACTTAACATGCTATCTATCTTTTATTGAATATATTTTTCCTCACACTGAATTCTATATCTTTTCTTTCAACAGGCTGAATTAAATGACACAACTGATCCTTTTACCAGTTATGGTACAAAAGTTTCATCAAATGTAGGAGATGAAACTTCATCCAAATATATAGGATGGAGAATTGCCAATACACTTTCAAAACTATTCTTTCCATCCATTGATGCCCGTGCCTTTCCTTTGATGAAACCAGCAACAAAACGAGACCAAATGAAATATCAGAAGAAAAAGGAGGAGCCCACGAAGAAGAAAGTTCTGTGCATCACTGTAAGGTAAAGTGAAACACTACTCACAGTAGTTCTGTCATTCAAATACATTAAAATTTAAAATCACAGAAACCATATATAATCAGATGGCATATTATTTAACTCAATTTTCTTCTTTAATCATTATCTTGATCTACCACCACCTAGATACTCTATCATGGACAAATTACTCCCTTTTCAGAAACCATTTCTTTCATGTTAAAAATAGGTATTATTGCATAATATAATGTTTATGGAATTCTTTTGTGAGAAATACAATAGAAATTACATTATTATATTTTTTTTAAATTTCAAGGCTATTAATTTTATATACGTTAAGTAAAAGAACTGAATAGAAAATTTCACAAGGCAACTTGAGAAGACAAAGTCAAGTATTATAATGAAATGTACACATATATGCAGTTAGAAAACACAAAGGGAAGATCATGCTCTGTATTTCTCAAGCTGAAAGAACTGAACAATTATTCAAGACTTGACTTGCAATAGTGAAAGATTTCATGGGCAAAATATTTAATGATGCAGGAAGCATCAAAAGAAGGTGGAAGATATACAGAGAGCCATTCTACCAAAAAGAATAGGCTATTGTTCAACCATTTCAAGATGTAGCATATGATAAAGATCAATGGTACTGAAGGAGGAAGTTCAAACTGTACTGAAGGCATTGTGAAAAACAAGGCTCCAGGAATTGATGGAATGTAAATTGAAATCTTTCAACAAACTGATGTAGCCTTATAGGTACTCTCTCTTCTATGCCAAGAAATTTGGAAGATGACTACTTGGTCAACTGATTGGAAGAGATCCATATATGTGCCCATTCCAAAGAGAGGTAACCAAATGAAATGTGGAAACCATTGAACAGTATCATTAACATCATATGCCAAGTAAAATTTTGCTGAAAATAATTTAAAAATAACTTCAACATTACACCAACAGGTAGTTTCTAGAAACTCAAGCTGAATTCAAAAGAGGACATGTACCAAGGGATATTATTTCTGATGTCAAATGGGTCTTGACTGAAAGCAGAAAACACTAGAAAGATGCTTTCTTGTTCTTTGTTTATTGTGCAAAACTTTTGACTGTGTGGATAAAGACAGCTATGTCTTAATACATTGTGAAGAATTGTTATCTTAGAACAATTAATTGTGCTCATGAGGAACCTGTACAGAGGCCAAGAGGTAGTATTTCAAGCAGAACAAAGGTTACTGAATTATTTAAAATCAAGAATGGTATACACCAAGGCTGTATTCTTTCACCATATTTATTCAATCCCTAAATTGAGCAAATAATCCAAGAAGCTTCATTATATGGAGAAGAAGTGGTATCAGGAATGGAGAAAGAATCATTAACTACTTGTAACCTGCAGATGACACAATTATGTTTGCTGAGTGTGAAAAGGACTTAAAATACTGATGAATATTAAAGACTACAGCCTTCGATATGGATTGAAACTCACCGTAAAGAAATAAAAAATCCTCAAAACTTAACTAATAAATAATACTATTATAAATAGAGAAAGGATTGAAGTTGTGTCAAGGACTTCATTTAGCTTGGATACATCATCAACACTCAGGAAAGCAACAGTCAAAACTCAAATGACGTATCACAATGGGAGTATCTGCTGCACAAGACCTCTTGAAAATATTCAAAGGGCAATTATATGAGTTTGAGGACTAACGTGAGCCTGACATAAGCCATGGTATTTTCAATAGCCTCCTCATGTGCATGTGAAAGCTGGACAACTAATAAGGAAGACCATAGAAGAATTCATGCATTTAAGTTATGATATTGAGAGTGCCATGGACTGATAGAAGAACAAACAAATCTATCTATGAAGAAATACAACCAGAATGCTTCTTGGAAGCCAGCATGGCCAAACTTCATCTCTCATACTTCAGCAATTTTATAAGGAGGAACCAGTCCCTGGAGAAGTACATTATACTTGGGAGGAAGACTTCGAATGAAATGGATTGACACTATGGCAGCAGCAATGAACTCAAACATAGCAACAATTGTGAGTTTAGCTGAGAAGTTTCATCTCTCTCACAAATATCCATGTATATACTAAAGGCACAGAAAAATCTTGCACTTAGGAAAGTTTTATTTAAGTGAATCATTTTCCAATTTGTTTTTAATTTATTCAATAGTAGATACATTTCAGACATTCCTAAACTTACTATTACAATTTTAGCATAATTGGATATTTGTCATACTGCCAGATTAAAAATTAGGTGAAAAATCACTCTTGACATGTAACACAGGCAATTTTATACATATTTTGTCAAGATTTGAGACAGAAATTTGTTATTTATTCTTTAATCCAATCATTTAAAAAGTTTCAATGTGCTATATGTTTTCGCTATTTAATTCAGACAAATTTACAATGCAATCAGATTTCCTTTTACGCTTTTAACAATTTACTTGATATATGTTGATTCTCTGTTCTTAGAGATTGTTGTTGATCATCTAATTGTTTTAATTTTTGTCAGCTCTTTCTTTCTTTTTGTTGATTGTTGCCACTTCTGATATGTTCTTTGTTCGCTGAATCTTGTATATCTTGTACACATCATAAATTGTGTCTATTTTTTCACTTCACTTTTTTTTCTTTTAAAAACCTAATATAGGATCTTTTATTTCTATATTCAATCACATATATTTTTGTTCTTATCTATATGAATCTGTTATGTAGTCTTTCCTGTGGTTTATTTTATATAGCATTTCTAAGTTTTTGAAGAAAATGCCAAATCACTTAGGAAATATTCCTTCTATTTCTAAATTATTACTTAACTTATAAATCATGGGGCTGTTGCTGCCCAAAGTCAGACTTCATTGAAGTTTGGATAATTATATCAAATAAGACCATGTAAACAGACTTTTTTTGGGGTATAGAAATTGTCGATAGAAAAATAATTGTTGTTGTTGTCAGGTGCCATCGAGTCGGAACCGACTCATAGTGACCCCATGCACAGCAGAACGAAACAATGTCTGATCCTGGGCCAAC